TTTGAAATTGTTGGTGTTGCAACAACGAACAATAAGAAAGTATTTTATATTTTTTATTTTATTTAATTAATATTTATTGTTAATCACATTTAAAAATTATTATTGTTTGCAACAACAATTAAAAAGAAAGAATTTGATATTTAATTTAATTTAATTTAATTTAATTACAAAAAATTATTTTTGAAACACATTTGAAATAGTATTGTTTGCAAAAACAATCAAAACAAGAACTATATTTTTAATTTAATTTAATTTAATTATAATATTATATTTCTCAAAACATACAACAATCCAAAAATCTCAACAACAATCCAAAAAACAAAAAAAAAAACCAGAATTTTATGATTTCTCCTTAATTTAATTAACATTTCTCATTAAACACAATTTGAATTAAATGACCGTTACTTTTTCGCGGGTTTTTTTTTTTTTTTTTTGACAAATTACGAATTGACAATTACGCGACTGTATAAATATGACGATCAAAATCACAATAAAAATCACGTGAAATCGTAGAAGTTTATACCTCTCGTGGTAATTGATAAAGTTTGTGTCTTGCACACCGTTGATCCTAACATAAGGAAAATCGTAACCGCGCGATGAAGCGTGCAACGACGCGACTAAAGGTGGCCGCGTTTATGCGTCGCTGTGAAAACCATGTTTCTCTCACTCTTATGTAGTCGTTCACTCACTTGCTCTTTAAGGTTTGCTGCTGCTGTTACTCGTGCGTCATCATAGTGAGTATACGAGCCAATCTCGTGCCATCCGCAACTTTGCTCGATCGCATTCCGGAATTGTCCGCCATTTGCCAACGAACCGAGCGTTTATGTGCGTCTTCTTTCTCTTCTCTTCTTTGACGATGATCATTACGAGGAAGAGAGAAAGCAAACTAATCTTCTATCTTTTTCTTTTTTTACCTTTTTCTTTCTCTCTGTCTCTTTCTATGTCCTTCAAATACTAATACACATTGACAATTTTTTTTTTTAAGTATGTGAATGTATAGAAACGTATATGAACGTATATGAACGTATATGAACGTATATGAACGTATATGAACGTATTTGAACGTTTATAAACGTATTTGAACATATGTTGAAATTAATATTTCTTTGATTACTTTTTGATTGAAATTTTAACTTACATTTTATTTATTAATATGCATTATTAATGTTTTTATAATTAACTATATGAAAATAGTTGGATTTAGTAACAAAGTAGGAGCGTTTAATTTGATTATTTCCTAACTTTGTCTTCAAAATTGATTAGTTATTTATTACATAATTTATTTAATTACTTATTTATTATATTATTTAATTTAATTACTTATTTATTGTATTATTTATTTAAATACTTATTTATTCTGTTGTTTAGTTTCATTACTTAT